TTCATGAACCCCGAGATTCAGACCTCACAGGTCTGAATCTCGGGGTTCATGAAGAGGCAGGTAAGGTGACAGGACTGTTGTTGGCATCTTGGCGAGTGTACAGTCTCGCCCAAAAGTTCGTTAACTCTCCCAGCCAGCAATTGCTGCACTGCCTGCTTCATATGTTTGAAACTGTCTCAGTACCAACCGGAACATGAAACCGATACGAATGAATCTAAAGGTTCCAAGTAATAGACTCAAGTTCATACATCTGAAGCAGGCAGTGCAGCCATAGCTGACTGGGAGAGTTAACGAAATTTTGGGTGAGACTATACCCTCAAGGAAAGTCGAGGACAGCAGCCCGGAACCTACACGAGTGACCTCTGGCAACGAGGAAAATCGTAAGTTAAATCCGATATAAATATTATAAGAAGTTTAATAGGTTTAAAAATAAAAGATAAAATAAAATAAAATACTACTTTAAAAATCACACCATATGGTTAAGTACCCCTATTGCAGTTAAAAATGTTCTCGTTGCCAAAGGACGCCCAGTGTTGCTTCCGTGCGGTTGTCCCCAGTGTTGTCTTAGATACAGTATACAGTAATGCAACCCCCCCCCCGCCCCCTCCTAAAAAAGGGAAAGGCAGATCAAAGACTCTTGAAAAATAAATATACATAATGCATGAATAAAGCCAGAACGATTTTTTTAAAGAAATTATTAAACTAAACTGCGTAACAGCACTTTGGTAACAAACAGGTAGTTTAATCTGTGGCTTAGGGTTCCCTATCAATATAAACAAAACGGAGACAGTAAGGTTGAACCCGGCTAGACGTGAGTGAGTGGCCGGCATTAGAGGATGACATTTCTTCCTTATTTTTAATAGTTATCTAATATATGAAACGATTGTAGTTGGTGAAGTACAGAAATATATAAGAACAACAATATTGCACGTGAAAGGACAAACTGATTCCTAATGTCTCTTAACGAAACATCGAAACAAAAAGGGAACGATAACAATATGGCGGTGTGTGAGGAGACAAATTGGTGTTATGCTCTGAGATCCTATGGTGTAAACAACGTGAGGTGCTACCGAGTACAGTTATTCAACATAGGGGCTTGAGCATTGAGACTTGTAAACTACACTGGGGGTAAGTGCATTGATGTTGAAACACAATATGAACGTTTAAAGACCCCCCCCAAGTTATTGAAATAATGGCTTCAACTGGATGTCGGTTCAATAGTACAGCATTTTGATGAATCGTGAAGTTGCTTGGTGTTATTGTACGTTATTTCAGCAAGGATTTAAAGAAAATTGTGTCAACGTATCTTGTACTTATTGAACCAGAAGATGGAACATTGCAATCTACAGTAAATGCCACCAAGAACCTTTAACAGGATATACTGCACAGCTGGACCCACAGAAGTTACTTGGAGTTGATAATGCGAGTGTCAATATAAAATATTGTTAAATCAAAGCTCAGAAATCGGTTGAATACAAGTTCAGCCTGTGCGATTATTGCCGTGAAAAGTGGACTCAGAAGAGTTGGAAAATTTTGCCATTCATATGAACTGCCAAAACAAGTGGTAAAGCAAATAGGTACAATGGGCGCATACAGTTCGACATCAAAAGCTCGTCCAAGCTCCTCTTCAGGACCCAAGTCTATAGAGACTGAAGAGGAAGAAGAGGACGGCGTAATTTTTTCGCTGAAGTAAGTGGTGAATACTTAACATTTGTATGCAGTATTTAATTAACATTTGCACATTGTTTAGGATATGCGCGTAATATTGTGCTTAGCGGATTTCTAGCGGATTCTACAGGTCAATATAGCCGATTTTCACCAACCACATTTGGCAACACTGATATTCTCCAGACAGGACCCAGAGGAACGAGTCATGGCTTCCCTGATGCAAGCACAGATTGTAACTCCGCGTTTGTCGAGTTTCCGAGGGCCGTGAACTTGTGTTGGGGCGATGATAAGTGTGGGTGTTGAGGGTGGGCCAAACACTCCTTGATTGTTGTGAGATCTGCCGCTCACTGCCATAACCTATTAAGTCAAAAGGCGAAGCAAGTTTTTGTTTTCTTTCAACTGTGCCTGAGTCCTAATACGTCGATTGGTGACTGTCTCGTTCAGTCAGTCACTGTCGAGGTAACATTAAATATTCATCTATTCACTGATCATAATTTTCTTGTACTTAAGCTGTTCGGGTGATTCGTTGTTGTTACTGAATGTTGTGACGTGGCTAGTAGTTTCCACTGTTCTGATAGTCTTAGTAAACTGTTTGACTTAGTGTTATAGTGGTGGAGTTCGGGGCCAAGGCTAGCTGGCACCTACACGCCATGACTTATCGTTGCTGGTCGTCGCCTCCAGTAATGGGCCACAGTTTACGTGCTCCCTTAGAGAACCGTCTGTCAATTTGTTGATGATTTGCAGTGTTTTTGTTACACTTTGAAAATAAACGAAAATGCTGACACTTGGCCGAGCCATGTGCGAGACAGTTAGCTGTGTATGGTGATTTAACAGGTTTTTGTAACACTGAATTTTTACAGGATCACTCGCACTTGGCCGTTTACTGTAAACCGAGTAACTGTGTGGTAACCGTATGGGGATGGCGCCGTTCATCACACACAAGGTAATAATGGCTTACTATGTTCAACCACCTCCATACACCCTGTACACCTCCGGCTTCTGTGTTATAGAGGTGTCCCAGAGAGAAGACACATTTGTATGACCAATTTCGCTCACACTGACAAAATAGTTTTCCCCAAAGCAAAAGTCCTCCTCCAGGAAATAATATTGGGTTAGAAGACGGTGACTGAGTTAAAGTAAAGTATTGAAGATTGGGTTAGGTTAAGCGGGATTTTGCCGGACAAAACTAGTAGTCAATATCTTGCCGATACCTCTCGTCTCCAAGCTCGAAGTTAGAGTCTCAGGGATGCGAACCCTTAACAAAATTAATGTTGTGACATTACCAGGTCCAGGGTAATTGTTTTCGCTATATCGCCCACCTCTCGATCCGCTTCGTCAGTGATAATGATAATCACCTCCATGGGTCATCACTACTTAGCAATGTTCCGTGTTGTTGCGCTGACTGCTTTAACTATGTATTGTGCGGGCATCACAGTCAGGGGTTTGGGCGTTAGTCAAGTGTGTTGGCGCTATAGTTGGGTGATGTGTATTGGCGTTACAGTTAGGTGTATTGGTGTTACAGTGAGTTGTATTGGCGTTACAATTAGGTGTATTGGTGTTAGTGAGGTGTATTGGCTATACAGTGAGGTGTATTGGCGTCAGTGTTTTATGTAGGCGTCACAGTGGGTTGTGTTGGGCTTAAGTAACGGGAGACTGAGGGGCGTCACCTCCGTCTAATCTTCCGTAAACATTTAGGCCACCGACAGGCCGCCAACACGTTTACACACACACACACACACGCACACACACACACAAAGAAAAAAAAAGTGGGTGGATTACTTCATAGCTTCATTAGTGATGTCACCATGAAAAGACTGCTGCTTTGACAATCCCCAAGTTTAGTTAAAAATCAAATACCAGATAAACACAAAACATTAAAATACACACACCAACATTCCCACAAGCCAGACTCCCAAGTCAGCTGTAGCCTCCCTCACTACCATCTTCCCACCTCACTCCCTCCTCCCTACACCCACTCACTCTCCCCCACACCCCCTCCTCCCCTTCCCACTCACCTATCTCTCCATCCCACACCTCCTCCTCTCCACCCTACACCTCCTCCTCTCCACCCTACACCTCCTCTCTCCCACCCCACCCCCTCCTCTCCACCCCACACCCCCCCTCCTCTCCACCCCACCTCCTCCTCTCCACCCCACACCTCCCTCCTCCACCCCACACCTCCTCCTCACCACACCTCCTCCTCTCCACCCCACACCACCTCCTCTCCACCCCACACCTCCTCCTCTCCACCCCACTCACCCTCATCCCCTTCCCACACACACCCTCTCTCTCTCACATCAAGCAACCTCAAGCATCCAAGACTTCTCACCGGTACCATACAGTAAATAAAAATAGCTCTACTGACCTCCACCATTACAACTTATTACAGTTAACACAATTATCTCCCACATCCCTCTGATGGGGGCCTGTCACAAACACCGCTATCAGAGCACAGTCTGTGATGCAGTTTCACCCCACCGTCTGGTCTGGTTTGTTAAGTGACATGGACAAGACTTAGTGGTGAAGGTGTAATAATAACGATCCTAGCTGTAAAATATATTATCGAGTGTAATTTCAATTACGTTCACAGTAAATCTATAATATTAATGATAACACAAACAATGGTTTCAAGTCGTGTCAATCATGCCAGTCCATATTTTTTAACTGTATTGAATTCCACATTTTTAACTTATGCGTGATGTCTGTCATTACCAACACTTGCAGTTTGTAAATATCATTAGTAAACCACATTCAGAATCACTCGACTAAAAATTACACAATTTTAAACTTAAGTTATGCCTCTCCTTGGTTTAGGAGAGCACCAACTTGTGAACGGAAACTACTGTATTTACTGTAATTCCACCTAACTTTTTGAACTCTCATACATAGGGTGTTAAGGTTTGCACTACTGAAAAGGTTGATCTTAGGTGTTCGTAATAATCGGAACAGTGACAGAAGGTTCAGAGGAGTATCCAGACTTAATGGTAAACTAAACAAGAAGCTGTAAGATGTGGGTCATAAATCTGGTACAGATAAATGAAGCGGGTCGAACCTATAATGAGTTATTGTCCAACTAATTCAGAGGTGTTTCCTTGTCCAACAAAAAACAGCACCCCATTTTTTAGCACCCTTTACTGCCTTTCCGCCTTAAACTCCGTATACTAGTGTTTTCGTGCCTCATGTACAAGGTTGTCAGTATGGTTACGGTGAGGTCAAAGGAGAAGATGGTCCGGAGTGGTGACGTTATCACCTAGATCTTTATAACTTTACACCTGTCAAATTTTAAGATTGTATATTCTTATGTACCCGTTGGCTGGGGTCATAGGTCTCACCTTTTTATTTTGGCTGCCATGCCATCCATTCCATCCTTCTTAGAGTTGGCGTTGAGGTCCTTGCAGAAGAGAAGCATCATGCAGTCCAGTGCGTAATTCTTCGTCAGGTACACGCGACCGAATTTAAACAGTACCTTGATTGCAAACTCCATAAATTTGACACGTTCATCAGAGCTGAACATCCCCAGTGGATTCCACATGCGACCCTCGACTTGGTCATGGGAGGCAGTGCTGTTGACGCCCTCTACTTCCTCCACGTGTGGGAGGGTCTCGAGAAGATGGTGCGCCATGGCAATCGCCTCCGAGATATCCGGCAGGCTCCTGTCGGTGTCCTGAGAGACCTGGTTGACCGTTGCCGTCATAAAGTTCTTAGTCAAAACCCGATCTTTGTTCTGTCTCAGACGTTCCAGTCGCGTCTCTAACAGGTGGAGGTCTTGTTTGGAGAGGGTGCCAACTTTCTCGATGAGGAATTCCCAGAAATCCAAAAATGTCCAGGTAATGAGGGATAATTCAAAAGGGGTGAGAGATCGAAGTTTTTCAGAGTCAAGGAGCATGAGGCGCTCATTCCTGCTGGGTCTGTCGTCGAACATATCTGGCAACACGTCGGCGCTTGTCGTGTTTGGTTGTTTGAATACTTTGTTGTAATCTTCTAATAGTTCCACCTCCTTTTGCATATATTCTTCTCTAGACTCATTGTACCGATTATCTGTATGGGAGGGAAAGGTTAGTAACGTTGATGCGAGCCTTTGAGAATATTCATATATGTCATATAGAGGCCCCAGTAAAGGCCTATGGTTCGTGGTGGCAGAGTGATCAGGCCGTGGAGCTGTCTGTGCAGGAGGTCGATGATTCGGTTCAACCAAGAGTTTCCTATTCGGAATTTGTACTGGAGGTCGTTCAGCGTCTGGACGTATGGGCAAGGGGTAACCTTGGCCGTTGGGTCGAGGACCTCGAATTCCTGGTGGTGGGCCACTAAAGTGAGGCGGGGGTCTTCTTGGTGGAGATGGTCTCCATCTCGGAGGAGATTCCCCAGGAGCGGGTCCTCTGTCGTCATGTATGGCCGGTGCTTTGCCATCATTGTTATAAACATCCTGAAAGTGTTTGAAGGCGGGGTCAACAGGGCGGCGTCCGTTAGTGTGTATTCTGTCATCGGAGCCGACCACTTTGGGTCTCGTATACGAATGCCTGGTATCTTCCTCCTCCTCCTCCTCCTCCTCCTCCTGTGTCAGCCCCTTCCTCTGGCTGTACTGTGTCTCGCTTGCAGGTGGCAGAGTTGATGTCGGTCGTTCATGATTATTGTAATAAAATAACATATCATCGATGAATCCTGCTGGCCCTGGCCGCCTACGTATCGGACCTCCACCCGCGGACTCGTGGAATCTCTTCAGGTTGTTTGGTATGGTGACGTCTTTTGGTAACGTCATTCCTGGGGGTAAAGTGATACCTTGCGGCATTTTAAAACTTGGCGGCAATGTGAAGCCCCCTGATGTTTGTCCGCCTCTGTTGGGAGTACGCTGCTGGAAGTCTTCATGGCCTGCTATGCCGGGGGACGAGTCCGACTGTTCGAACGTCACGGTTAGTACTTCTGGGAGCGTCGAGGGTTGGTAGAGTTTACGAGTGTCCTGCAATGAAGGAGTAAAGTAATGGTCATAAACTCGCTGTGACTCGTTCTGTAGTTGGTCCTTGTCATAGGCTGGCTTGTCGTGTTGTGGACCATCATAGGGTGGTTGTTCGTCTTGGTCGTAAGGTGCACGGTCGTAAGTCGGCTGGTCATAGTAGTCGTTGAGCTGGTCATCGTAGTCGTTGGGTTGTGGACGGTCATATGTCGGCTGGCTGTAATCGGGCTGATCATCTTGTTTGTAAATCTGTGGACGGTCGTATGTAGGCTGTTCGTTGTTGGCGTAAGGCTGTGGACGGTCGTATGCAGGCTGTTCGTTGTTGGCGTAAGGCTGTGGACGGTCGTATGCAGGCTGTTCGTTGTTGGCGTAAGGCTGTGGACGGTCGTATGCAGGCTGTTCGTCATTGGTGTATGGATGTGGACGGTCGTGGGGAAGTTGGTCGTCATGGCCATTAGATTGTGAACGGTCGTACGCGGGTTGTGCGTCATTAGCGTAAGGCTGTGGGCGGTCGTAGGGAGGCTGGTCATCATGGTCGTAAGGTTGTGAAGAGATGAAGGTGGGTTCCTCGTCATTAGCATAAGGATGTGGACGGTCTGAGTCGGGTGGGTCGTCGTAGTCGTACAGTGGTGGGCGATCATAGGTAGGACGTCGTTGGTAGGGTTGGCGGGAGTAAGGAGATCGTGTGGGGTTTTGCCCTCGACGGATCCCCGGCGGCACACGCTGGGGGCCTCCAGGGAAGCGGGGATTGATGGGTGTCTTGGGTGGTCCTATTGTAGGGAGGGATGGCGGGTAGGGAAATGGTAGTCCCATGTCTAACAAGGCAGGGTCAATGTCTCGGGGTATTTTGTCGGGAAGGCCGCCATGTAAGGGATATTTGGGGAGGTTTTCCCCGGGGTAATCGTCTATGACTCTCCTGTTGTTGTTGGGAACGTAATCTGGTATTCTGTCACTGTACTCACTATAATCATCTGAGGGACTTGGGACTACTACGGGTCTATTCTCTGAGAGCCCTACTTGACTGTCGTAATCATCAGGCTCAGCCATGGGGTGCCAGGGTTCAGAATTTGCATCTGCAGCAGATGTGGTCCCCTCGGAGTATGCGTGTTCCTGCTCCGGCAGGCCACCGAAGAGACCGAAGTTAGGGTCTGGTCCCGGGTAGCGGGACGTTGCTACAAGGTCCTTGACCGGCGTCACACCCTGGAAGTGCCCGACAGCCTCGTTAACTGGGTCCTCGTTAGAAGGGGTTATTGGGACTCTTGCTGCTATCGACATTTCCCTCAGCGTTACACTCGGGGCGTTAAAATCAATTGTTGAGGGCGTTGACGTGGGCTGATCTGTGCCTTTGCCTTTCTCAATTTGCGTCAGCCTCGGCGCCGTTCCATTGAAATCACCACCGAAGGGGTCTACCTTCTCCTCGGCGTAGGCACTGACCAGCATCCAGACGCCAAGGCCGACGATGGCGACGAGTAAGAGGATGACGGCGGAGACGACGGAACAGAGGACCTTGATGCCTCGCACCCGATACACGATACCTCTGTACATAACGTTCACTTTCATGCCACTGCCGACGGAGGGCACGTCGCTCACCTCGCTCTTCTCGCTCATTGTGGATACACTGACACGGAATCTTTATTACAAGATAGCCGGGCTTAATCACTCGCTCTACTGCCCCACGCACCCCAATAGTCGTCACGCACCTAATATTAACATGTTGACTTAAAATAGTTTCCTTGTCTTAAGTCAGCCCTTAAATTTATAGCAGTATATTATGCTTCTCACATTACTCTCGTGATCACTTAAGCTTCCCCAAATCCAGTAACTCGGGTAAAACTTGTTCACGCAGTTCGTCTTTGTCACACAACACAGGCCACGCAGTAGACGATGGTCAACACGTGGCAAGTACCATGGAACACGTAGCCAATGTCTTACCACGTGCTTTCAGTACGTGGCAAATACCGTGGAATTTGTACTTTCAGTAGGTGTTCTTTTCTCTATCCCGTGATTTCAAGACATGTAGTACGTGCTGTGGTGTACCGTACATGTGCTTTCAATACGTATCAGTTCCGCAAAGCAAGTGTTGTGTGCACCAGCTGCTGGTAGTAGTTGAGAGGTCAGTAGTCTGTCCAGTAAATCTTGCTGACAAAAGTTTGGTCTGGTTACTGTCACAGTGACTAGCGTCCTACGTTGCAGATATACCGTTTATATATCCCCAGTATCACTAGAATATGTAATTCGTGTAGTTACCAGTGTGCTTAACTAAAATACTCAAAATACCCTCAAAACAAATGTCAAACATGGAATGATTATGAAATATCACAGTCGAGTGGAAATAATGCCCATACGGATAGCCCACTACAGTTTTTTCACTACATTTAGTAATTTTCGAGACTAATTTAAAAGTTTTTGTGTCATTCCACCAGTCACTAATGTCTTATAGTTCTCGGTTATGACACTGCGAAATAGTCAAGAGCGAAGCGTCAGGAAGACATGGTGGTTGCCGCGCGACTGACTGGCTTGACTCTCCCGTCTTCACTCACCAGTCTGGGAAATCATGGGTTGGCGGCACCCTGGCGGTGGTCCACCGAACTACAATGAGTCAACAAGGAACCGTAAACTGATTTCCTCCAGAATCATAATTTTCAGAGTCAACGTAATGGGTAACAGTTGCGGATAATGGTAGAATAATTGCAAGAATTTCAGGTCAGGTTTGGGCATTGTTGAATTCGGACACCTCAATGTTTTGTTGGATATTTTCCTTTCGTTCTCTAATGATACTAAAGTAAAAAATTTAAAGCAGTAGATAAATATATAACCACTGAATCTAAATAACAGTATCTCATTTTCTATAAGTGTCTCATCTTACCACAGAAGTCACTATCAGTTACTGGTATCCTCTGGTTGTCCATAATCCCCACTGCTGCATTTTCTTACACAAGTCATCATTTTTTTTATTTGGGTGAGACAGGTTTGTGCACAACTGAGAACAGGTTTTAGCTACCACGTGGTTACCTGAACAAATAATAACTAGACTAATAATAAAAAATTAGTTACGGGTCAGGAAAGAAATGATTAGACGGAGATATTTGAGCGGTCATCACGATCTGTCCACAAGTGAACTTCAAAGCTCAAGATCGTAATATCCACGTAACAACCCAGAGTATACCCACCTCCCCCCGTCCTCTACACCACCACCACTAACAAACGCTAATCCAGAACGAATAATTCTGTTCTGAAACTCATTTGTGTGAATGTCCTCCCAGTTGGAGTACCATTTTTAACACGTTCTGTTTTGATTCATTTCCTTCAGATTTTATTTTAAACCATGTGTCAGCCATTGCAAACATTTTCATTATTGTCTTAGTTATTTCAGGTTCAGCATGTAAGCACTAACTAACACACATTCCTTGATCATGTAAATTGTTTCGCCTGAAATAGAGAAACATTGGCATATCAGGAGCGGGTCCAGTGTTTTAAAGGGACGCATAACATTATCCTCTCGTCAATATATACTTTCACCGTTACAAACTGTTTATACTTGTTATATTAACCGTTAAATAGTCTGATAATCCCTTCTCACGGGTCGGGAGAGAGTAGAGGCAGCATGTAGGAGAGACACAGTGGACCTTACACACTTGAAGAAACAAGTAAATATGTGTACCTTCTGATTTACTTTATAAGGCTTTATTCTACTACTACCCGATTTAAACTTATCTGTCATAGCATTCCTTCATAGGTTGTGTTAGGTGTGCCTCTTACTCGCTCTAGTTTGTTTGAAATTAGTTGGTATTTCATATTCTTATATATTCTTCATCACATTTCCCTTCCTAAAATTCGGTCACCATTTCTGAGTGACTTGTCATCATTAGAAAATAAAATAATACTCGCATTCTGCAAAAACCTGCCCACCACGTGAATATGACACACACCATCAGATCATTGTCTTCAGGTCATTATTGTACATCTCAACAACACCAACACTTATTTCTAAGGCTTCAGATTAAGTTTGTTCTAGTGTCTCGTTTAATTTTATAAATCTGTGCAGGAGAAAGTTACAATCCTCCTCATCAAACTCGGTAGGATTCTCAGTAAAGTGATCTGTATTACCTACAACTTCACATCCCAACTGTTGCCGAATGATGGTATTAGGTTTTAGATCACTGTGGTCAAGACGCTCCTGATGGCATCCCCCTCGCACAGTATTCGAGGTCCATAACCGCGGACGCTTTCCCATGGAGTGTTGGAGGCCGTGGCAGTGGTGAGAACCAGGGCGTCCTCATGAGATAAGGTGGCGTCTCAGTCACATTAAGTGAAATTACAACAAACTGTACACATATTGTTTTCTCATCGTATTCTCTACTACGATTCACTGTGCTCAATTATTTTCTCAAAATTTTAAAAACATGTACCCTTGTAAAAAGTATCTATATCTGTCTATCGATCTACAGTATTATAATAAATATTTGTGAAATTGCATTGTGTATTGTGTGTATAATTACTGTCGTGTTGTTGAAGCAGTGATGTGAAATTCGTTATCTTGTCAGTATGTTTTTTTTTTACTCTCCTCACTTCACGACTGAAGAAACTATCTTTTATTAAAGCATTATGACGAAGACGTGTTTGTGATCTGTGGCTAACAGACCCGAGTTACTGGAGAGTAATGAGTTGTAGTGAAGGTCGCAATGTTGTTTATCTTTCATGTGGTTTGTAATTAAGTGTACTGTGGAGTGTGTGCGGGGTGTGTCGGGATGTGGTATAAGTGTGTGAGGGGTGTCGGGATGTGGCGTAAGTGTGTGTGTGCATGTAAGGGTGTCGGGATGTTGCATAAGTGTGTGTGTATGTGTGTGTTTGTGTAAGGGGTGTCGGGATGTGGCTGGGTTTAAGTAAGGTATACAGTATATTATATGATCAGTTTTACATTACCATATATTACCGTCCATTGCGCAGGTCAACAAGGCGAGGCCACAGACACACACACATACCTGGGGACAAGATAAAAATTATATTAGCTTTATTAAATTTTCAACCACATTACGTTTAAGCTGCAGCTAAAAGACTCAGAACGTGAATTAAGATGTTCGTTCTCTAGGCTGTAATTAAACTGTTCAGGCATTCAGTAGTGCAAAGAAAGTAGTAATAGTAGCAGAAATATTTATAGTAAAAGTAGTATTAATGGCAGCTATAATAGTAGTGCCGAAAATAATAACAGTTTTACTCTTGGAAACTACTAAAAATGGCTTACAATTAGGATTTTGTAAATAAAAATCATTTGTTGTAATAGTGAGAGAAAGTTGGCCGTAAGTTTGTGTTGCGTGAGGGGGTAATGTCACAGAACACTGAGCCTTCGGTACACAAGGAGGCAATAAGGTTGGTACTGCCCTCGGTCGATCACTTCCCCAACAGTAAGGCAAGAATGTGTGTGTGTGGAGCATTTATAAAATTAACGTTGTTCCTCGGGCGGCGGCCGTTGCTTCACACAACACTTAACGGAGACAACCGAGTGACGGCGAGAGCTACGTCAATAAGGCCACGCCAACCCAACTGCAGAATCACCCACGGTGTTCCTGCTGCTTGAACCAGTCATGTCGGGCAGAGTTCTTCGTTTCTTTTTTCTTTTCTTTTTTCTCGTGGCTCTTGTGTCTTTGTCTTGGCGTGGCTAAGTGTGTATTTTGTTATTTCTTCGTGTCCCTTTCACTGGCTATGTCTTTGTGAATACCCTCCCTGTCTTTCTCTTAATGGATAATTTTACCCTCGATATATATCTCAGTATCTCTTTGTCGTTGGCTATCTGCTTCGCGTCTGTCAGTCAGTGTGTCTCCTTTAATGAATGTCTATGTCTATGGTTACCGGTTCGTGTGTCAGGATAGGAATTTGTGTGAGGGTTATTAACTTCCCCCGTGCCACACTCCTTACCTGAGAACTAATCAGTGAGCTGAAATCATTGGATAGCGTTCCTTGGGCGGTGGGAATGTATTTAAGTTTTAATTGATTCTTGAACTTTAATAAACCTTACAGTTAGGTGGTGATCAAGACCTCCCGCTTTCGATTGTAATATATAACTGAATTTACACTCGCCAGGACTTCAAATTGACCTTCATAACGCCCATATTCCTCCTCCTCTCTCCCAGAATACCATTCGTACTGGCTATTGATCGTCATTAAGTTGTTAATGAGGCAAGGATAAATAAAACTTAAACAATTAATATTAACTCACCCATCAAGTGTCGGCTTTTTGGTTGAGAATCAGGCGTGTATGGTCTGTCAAACTCACTTACTTTAATCTCATCTAGATTACATGACGGTGCACTCAGTCCAGACCCTTGGACTACATTAACGCTCAATCTTCCAAGAAAGTGTAATACATTGGTAGTTTCTTCACGTTCAGAACTGAGTGGCTATTGGATATGAAAGCAATGAAAATGTATTGTAATATTTAGCCAAGAGACCATACGGAAGATGTAATTATAAAGCATTTGTTTCTCCGGCCTTTATATATTTGTTTATGGCTTCCTTATACATACATTCAATTTACTTAAACAGAAATTACTAGTATTTAGTACAGTTTGTGACTGGGTATAACTTTAGTGTATTCATTTTGGAAAGAGAAGAGAGTACCGCGGTTTTTATTTTACAAACTTGGCATCTTGGTGGGCTGGTGTATGTACAAGACCTTTATGTGTGTGCGGGTAAGATGACAGTGTGTTTGTAGTGTATTATTTGACTGGTCATCGTTTATTTGGATGACGTCAATAGAGGTGAGGGATGAAGGGAATTATCACTGAGGTGTTGAAGTATTAATATTTTCTTTATTTAGACTTTCCTATTAGGTGACATTATTAACTTAACTGTTCTGGGTTAGATAATACTATAACTAGATATAAGACAGAAGGTTGAATGCAATACATAATTAATGAATCCTTATGTCACAATTGCAAAGATGGTGTGACAGTCTGTATCCCATTTATATAAACTGACAGCAAAGTTCACACCAAGTACTGAATTATGACTCATTTGGTAGTAAATAAAACAAGTGTATTAAGGGTAAAATTCCCAAAGTCCGCTTGTGATTCCTCTTACGAATGTAGGAAAAAGTCAAGAAAAAACGGCACGGAAAAAACCTAACCTGACCTATCTTAACCAAACTTAACTTAACCTAACCTACGTGCAATGCCATCATATATATATATATTGTGTTGTCAGTGTGTACAAGTCATGTGACTTTTTTTCCTGCGACTTAATTTCCGTTCACTCCTCCCACACTCCCATAATAAGTAGTGTCAATAGTATATACGGGTAAAGGCTTGGATATAATATTAAAATTAGTACACATATGTTGTGGTTACGTGGAGTAATGACGAGCAAGTTCATTTTAATTTTTTAGGACAATTTGATTTTAACTGTGGAAGAAAATCAGAGTGAAAGATAATACAGTAAGTAAGTGAGGTAAAGGAGGCTACAATGTTGGCCTTCCAATACTTCACTAACCAAGTTCTTCGTGAAGTTCCCGTTTATGG